TTTTTCTGTGCGATATAATCGCGCAAAAGATTTTTGTTTGAAATTGGTACGATAAAATTGGATGGAGTGATAAGAAAATACAGCATTGAAACGCGGCTTCAGATTGGATTGTTTTAATTCCTCAAAAGATTGTTTTTCAAAAAAAGCTTTTTTTTCAGTGGATCAAAAAGCTCGGCGAATCGGATTGTACGATGTTGGCGTTCGATTCGCTGTTTGCGCCGAAGATGTCACCAAAATTGTCGTTGGATTTTTTGATCGAAACGAAACGTGAAGAAATGGCCTATGGTTCGTTGATTATGCCCGAAGAGCGTCGAGTGATTTGTGCAAACGAGACGTCTGTGAGGAAATTCATTGAGGTTTGCGCTTGCACTTTTAGCTTAATTTCGAATTTAGTTTGTATTAAAAGCAATATTTTTTCGCTTACGATTAGCATTTTTCATTGAGTGATTCTGCATCTGAAAACTTGATCAAATGAGTGTTCGTGTAAACTGAATTATTTGCAGATATTGTTGCGTAGAATGAGCAACATTCGAACACGAGAAAGTGAACGTATGCAGCTTGGGGTGTTCATTCAACTGTTCGCATTTTTGGATCCGCTTTTTGCAATGGAATTGGCGAAGGTATGGATTGTTCTAATTGTTTCCATTTGATTGTTGCTTTGGTTTTGAACTGGTAGGCTTTTGAAGTATGATTAGCTGTTGCAATTAGAAAATTCTGATTAGAGAATATTGCAATGTGAGAATTTTTTTAAAATGCTTATTGCACTGCTGCATCTTGCGATCTTCGTTTTATTTCGGCGATTGTTGGATTTTTACTTCCTCCACCCGTTTGGAACAAACTTCATAACTATTGGCCTACTTCTCGTATGTTGTATATTAGGATTATCCGTTGGAAAATGAAATTACTGAGTTTTGAAACATTTTCTAGATTCTTTGATATGTTTGATAGGCAGTTGGTAAATTGTAAAATTTGCAGATAGAAAAGGCGACGGGTCGTGCTTTGACATTCTTAAGTGCAGAATCGGTACAGTTTCCACCCGTAGACCCACTGCCGGATCAGTCTGTTTTCAAAGGTTCTTACGATTATTCTTGTTGTTGTATTACATTATTTTGTTTTTGTCCTTGGATAGGTTCATTCCTTGTTTCTATATATTCATATAAGTTTTTTGCGTTCACTCTAGATATTCTGAGTGGTGGTCCAGCGTATTGGAGATTGTTGCTCAGTTACGATGTGAATGAAATTAAACCGTTATTCGCACANTATTGGGTAAGTGCACGTTCGTTTCGCTCTGATTTTTTTGTTTTCATTTCGCGCAAATCGTCAGTTTTTGATGGTTTGTTTTGGTCATTGTTGAGACCAGCGTTGAGTTAAAAACGCGAAATTCTTTGAAGTTTTTCTTTTCGAAAAATATTTCATCTGTGCGATTGTAATTGCTGGATCATCGTTGAAAACAAATAATATACTCTCAGATGATCGCGATCTATGTGTTGATTTGATTCATTCACAGGTAACGTGATCCCTTCTCGTTTTTTGTTTCAGTATCAACCGTCGAAAATGATCGGTGAAGTGTTGCTTCCAGCAATTGCCGGTCAACAATGTTATGAGTACATTGCGATGTTGTTGGGCAAATTGGAAGCTTTAGCGAAAATTGGCGTGAGTTTGCATGAACAATTGTTCGTTTCCGGTCGTTTAGTAAGCAATTGGAAAGAAAGTAACATTTTTTGGTTAAGAGTTTTTGAATGATTGATTGTATCATTGGTTAAGTTTTTTGAAAAAATATCATTTGGTTGAGTTTTTGGAATGATTCGAAGAAATCAACCAATGAAGTAGTAGTGGAAGAAGTAGTAAGACTGATAATACCACTGCTATATGTAAAAATATTGAGAATCTTATGAATGATTTTTGTTTTGGCAATACTCAAATGTTTGCGATGAATTTCAGTTTGTGGACGCAACGCAATGGACTGAATTTGGAAATGACTGTGTGAAGGAACTGGGTGCTATTGGACGGAATCAAGACGTTCAGATGAGATTCACGTACGATGCGGTTCGTGTGAAGGTTTGAGATTCACAATTGATACTTTGAATTGCTGAACTGTTTGGGTTGTGGCAGTTTTATTAGAGTTTATCTTTAATTTTTCTCTTATCACAAGACTTTTTTGGGTTTGGACCAGTAGAGATTTCGAGAGAGATTTGCACTGACGATGAGTATTGTGAATGAATTGAATATTTCAGTTAGACAAATGGATTCGAAATTTTCCGAGTGCACCATCCGAGGCGGGTGCGTTCTTGAATGCCACCAAGAATCTGCAGAACATCGTGCAAGGTCTTGTACAAACCTCAGCCACAATGCCATCGAGTTCACTGGAAACAGTGATCTCGATGTTGCTTCAAATAGTCGCCTTCTTGATCAATACGGCCGAATGGGATTTTATTCTGAAGTCTTCACCGAAGTAAGATGCATATCTATCTATCTGATCGCTTCAAATTACTTTCTTTATTTTAACCGTATATAATAGTAATTGCCTTTTCAACCGTATAAACAAAATTTCAGATTGAAAAGCCCTTTCCTGGATATTGCCAAAGTCCTCGCAGCGTACATGACCGGTGATCCAGTAATGCGCAAGAAAGTTGCTGACGAAGCGTGGTGGAAGATAATGCATGTGACATTCGAGGATCCATCTGGGTATTTTCAATTGTTTCAGAAATTTTCGTTGTTGTAGACAAAATCATCTAGTTAATAAAATTCGACTCATTATGTTATGTGAAGTTTGTTTGCTAACAATAGATTGGGATCATTCATTCATTCGCAATCGCGTTTGGTCGGGAGATTATTGTTTCGATTGTATCTTCAATCGTCGGTTTTCCGACAGCTTTCAGTCGTGATTGTGAAATTTCACGATGAATTGATCCAATAAGAATTCAGTTTCAGTAAGAGGCGGAATGACGGGTCGTCGGTGCGTGATCGAACAAATTTGTTAATCTCACGTCCTCAGTTTCTGCAATTACTTCGGGTTATTAAAGTGAGTCACATTTTCATTGTGAAGAATTGAATGAATTGAGTGAGTGCTTTTGGCAGATGAGAAAAGCCATTTTACACTGGATTCTGTATGATGGATTCTGATGGATTTTGTATGATGAATTATATGATGATTCTGGATTCTATATGTGATGGATTTTGCACATACGAACGCATTCTAGTTGAAGAGTTGATTTTGCAACTTTCAAATACGTCATTTGCAACATTTCAAGCGGCTTGTGTCCGGAGAAATTTTCTGATTGATCGTTTTATTCCGTCTTAGCTTACGATGGTTTCATCAACTGGATGGAATTTGTCAGAAGCGCATGCAGTTTTCAACTGGATTATTTTAGCCACTTTAAGATTCGTCTTGTAGCATGTTTCCGTTTCGATGTAGAATTTTTCTCGTTTAGATGGCTTATCGAGAAGTTGATTGAATTTTAAGGAGCCGTGTACCATATCGTTTTTGTTGTGCTTCATCGGGAAATTATTCAATCATGCAGTGGTGACGCAGTCGTCGGGAACTACCGAAAAGAGTGCGAGAATCTTTGTGCAACGTTCTGATTTGTGGCAGACGACATTTGAGTAAGAATTTTTTTTTTGTGAGTGTTGGACGCAAAACAAATGATTAGTTCGAATGAATGAAATTGCATCTAATAATGATTTAACAGCTCTTTCACCCATATTTATCCGTTAGTTTTCATTTTCTCGTACGTATTATTTAGTTGTGTGCATCTGAAATTGATAACGATAATAATGATGAGTTGTTGCAGTAATTGGAACGCATCGCTGAATTATTCGTACATATGTGAATGTTTGGAAACAATCCTGAATAATGCGTGTATTGTGAACCCAATTAATGCGTTTTGGCTGAGGTCGTTTGCAGATTACAGATACGGTGAATATGTGACAGTTTCTTGTTGTTGTTGTTCTGAAGATCGCTGGATGCAAATTATGCCATCGTGCTGTTTGTTCATCTTTTAAGATGAGTTGATTTTTGAACGAAATTTGCATACTTTTAGCATGTGAAAAGTACGCAGATGCATTGGTTTTGTATATGGAGACGTGTGTTGCTTGCAGTGATAATTTTACGAAACCGTTTCCGGATAACGTCGTTGATGATGTGGTGAGTTCAAGTTTTGTTCAGTTCGGCGAGTTTCCAGCGTTTTCAATTGACCCATTAGGTCCTAGAATTTCTTCAGTTTTGATCTATTTTCCCAAAGAAGAGAAATCTGGAAATTCTTCTCATCTTCTGTTCTGTTAGCGTGACAACTTTCTACCACTCAAGAGCGGTTTTGATTTGTAATTTTTATGTGTTCTTATCGTTTATCGCGGAATGCATGAATACAATTTGTATTCGTTGAACAATTGAAGATGTGGTATAAGATCCAACGATGTTTACGAGCAGCTGGCCAACCGACATTATCGGCGTTGGTGTGTCAGCTGATGCGTGATCCACAGGAGCATTACGTTGAGACAACGAATGCCCTATTGGAAACACCACATCATGTGCTTGACGCTTCGACGCTCTTCTTTGGCTTTATTAGCGATATGAATTTGATGGAATTTTTGAATGGTGAATACTTTCTTTAGCTTCTCCCATTTAGCTATATTCCAGTTCGTAGCGTTTTTTAACGTGATTGACTGTGATGAGCGTTCTTTGATGCATATTTAAGCAGTTGTTTTGTTTGTGTTTAAATTTTTGTTATTACACATTTTGTTATTACCACTTCAACTGCAAAATTTTGCCATATACAAATAATAACTGAAATGTTGTTCGGCGCTGAAAACGGAGTAGTTTTTTCTTTTTTCTTCAGGTGCATACGAGAAAATGGGTATGCCCGAGAAAGCGCAACGATTGGTGAGTGGTTTTGTTCGTTTCTGATTGATTTGTTTTTTGTTTGTTTCACTTGAACTCTTTTTTTCTTGTTTGGTCAGCTTTTTTCTATCCAAATTTCGGTGAAAATCACGAGAAGATCGCAGATTTTCAATTTGGTTCGTTGAAATGATTGAGATTAGTTTACGTTCGTTCAGTTGATCAATTCAGTTGGTTCACTTGATTCCGAGTGAGGTTTGTCAACTAGAGAGAGAGAAGTGGTACACTAGTTGTAAGTTGATTGGAGTGATGATCGGAAGTCAGACGTTGTGTTGGTCTTTCAGAGAGATGCAATAGCGGT